TACTCTGCAGTGCAGTGCAGGAACAGGTAACCATTGTCATCCTGCAGAGCAGCCCCGTAGCTAAGGAGTTTTTGGGGAGGGGGCTGGGGGGGGCACAGCCCAGGGCGTCATGGTATCCACCGAGGCAGGGGTCGGCAGCCAAGCGGGGCGGTGAAGAAGCAGGATGGCTCCGGAGACCAGGCAGAGAAGACGCCTCCTTTGCAAGGTCCATCCACGATCGTGACAAAGCAGGACGGGACGGCTCTGGGCTCCTCGCTGGGCTCACTCCAGCCTAGGGGGTAGCGTTGCTCCTGCACCCGCAGCCAGCGCAGGGCTCGCTGGCTGCCTGCCTGCTCCTCCGGTGCGCCTGCAGGCTCCCCGGCCGCTCGCCTCCTGCCTGCCTGCTGCCCCCGCTGTCTCCCTCCATTGCAAGTGAGCGAAAGTGGGGAGGGAAGGGAAGGGAAGGGGGAGCGAGCCGGCCTCCTCCGGACCTGGACAAGCGGGTGCGGCACGGCTGCTTCAGCGGTCACCCCAGTCCATCTCTGAGTGGGGGCACTCGGAAACCCTGGCTACATAGTGTGCACAGTAGCTCGCAGGGCTCGGCCAGTGCCCCTCCTCTTGCGCAGGTGCGCTACTGCCCTCCCCGCGGGCTGTTGTTCAGCTGAGGGCAGTGACGGGGGGAAGGGAGGGGGAGCCGAGGATGGGGCTCGTAAAAACTGCGGGGGGGGCGCAGTAGCTACTGGCCTGCTGCAGAGGTGTAAGAACTTTGAGTTTGCATAAGAGAAGCACTCTTTGAACACCGTAGGGATCGTGCAGAAAGTGCTACCCACGTCACAGCCAGCTTACTGTGGCCCTGTAGGATTTTCAAGGCAAAAGGCGGACAGAGGTGGCTTCCCATTGCCTGCCTCTCCTAGCAAAGCTGAATTTCCTGGGTGGTCCCCCGTCCAAGTGTTAACTAGGGCCAACCTTGCCTAGCTCCAGGATCGGACAAGATCAGGCTAGCTTGGGCCATCCATGTCTGGGCACCCAGGAGAGACATAAATGCAAAGCCACTAATATGAGATCGTTATGTTGTAAGACACATTTAAATATTGCACAAGAGAGACTTTTTTGTTTTTTGGGGGGCTTCGTTTTGCAGCCCAACAGAGTGAGGAACGAAACGAAAGAATTGAGATTGTTGTGCGCCGAGGATGAGCAGAGCAGGACATGCTGGATGACCGCATTTCGACTTCTCAAGGTACTTGATTCCCTTTCGGGCATCTGGCAATTCACGTTTCCGGCAGCCCTCTGTGTGTTTTGGAACGGAGTTCTCTTTCTGTTGCACCCGTACCATAAAGTTCTGCCTGCTGGACAAAATAAGGCAAAATAAGGTGCAGGAAAGGGAAACTAAAACGATTAACGGGATGGAACACCTTCCCTACGAAGAAAGGTTAAAGAGGTTAGGGCTCTTTAGATTGGAGAAATGACAACTGAGGGCTGAAATGATAGAGGTTTACCTTCTCTATGCACGCGATAGAGAAGGCAGGCAGAGAAAGAAGTCCTTTTCTCCCTTTCTCACAATACAAGGACTCGTGGGGAATGAATGAAATTAATGAGCAGGAGGGTTAGAGCAGATCAAAGGGAAGTCCTTTTTCACCCAAAGAGTAATTAACCCATGGAGTTCACTGCTGCAGGACGTGGTGGCAGCTACAAGCATAGACAGCTTCAAGAGGGGATTGAAGAAACCTATGGAGCAGAGGCCCATCGGTGGCTATTAGCCACAATGGATGGTTAGGGACTCTGGGGCAGGTGATGCTCTGTCTTCTTGGTGCTTGGGGGGGGCAACATTGGGAGGGCTTCTAGAGTTCTGGACCTGCTGGTGGATGTCCTTTTTGGCACCTGGGTTCTGGCTACTGTGTGACACAGAGCGTTGGACTGGATGGGCCATTGGACTGATCCAACGTGGTCTCTCTGACGTTCTTAACCGTACATCTTCATTTCCCTCTCTTCCTGTCTGCAGTACGGGATGTTGCTGTACCAGAACTACAGAATTCCGCAACAAAGGAAAGCGATGCTTCCACATTTCACCACACCTGTCGTAAGTGTGACATTTTCATTACCAACGGAGAGTGTTGCTGTTACACTACAGTCAGTTACACTACAGTCAGTCAGTTACACTACAGTCAGGTACACTACAGTTGGCTTAAGACCTCGGGTCAATGAAGCTAATAAATGAAATGGAATGGGTACACTACAGTCAGTCAGTTACACTACAGTCAGTTACACTACAGTCAGTCAGTTACACTACAGTCAGTCAGTTACACTACAGTCAGTTACACTACAGTCAGTCAGTTACACTACAGTCAGTTACACTACAGTCAGTCAGTTACACTACAGTCAGTCACACTACAGTCAGTCAGTTACACTACAGTCAGTCAGTTACACTACAGTCGGTCTGCAGTAGGACAACTAGATTTTTGAGTCCAGGAACACCTTGGAGACCAACCAGATTTTTGGGGAATACGCCTTGCAGGGCTCTTTTTGTAGAAAAAGCCCAGCAGGAACTCATTAGCATAATAGGCCACACCCAACAACAGGAACTCATTAGCCTATTAGGCCACACCCCTGACAGCACAGCTCATTAGAACATTAGGCCGCACCCCCATGTTACCAGGAGTGTGGTCATCCAGCCACACCCACCTTTTGCTTCTTATTCTGTTTACCTTGTTTGTTGTCAAAACCCAGGGCCTTTTTTGTAGCAGGAACTCCTTTGCATGTTAGGCCACACACCCCTAACGTAGCCAATCCTAATGAGTTTCTGCTGTTGGGTGTGGCCTGTTATGCTAATGAGTTCCTGCTGGGCGTGGCCAACTCGGGAGCCAGCCGGGATGCCGTTCCTGTGCGTTCCTGCCCAAAAATAGCCCTGCGCCTTTGAGAGTCAACGTTCCCTTCATCGGTTATCCGATGAAGGGAGCTTTGACTCTTGAAAGCCCGTACCCCGAAAATCTGGTTGGTTTCTAAGGTGCTCCTGGACTTGGATCTAGTTGGAAGCAGATCCAGGGGGCCAGCTGTGTTGGTCTGAAGCAGTAGAACAAGTTTAGAGTCCGGCGGCACCTTTAAGACCAAGAAAGTTTTATTCAAAGTATGTGCAGGCACATTTTTTTTCAAATACACTGGAAGGAAGGCAAGGTTCAAACATCAATCAAATCAGTTAATCAAATCAAACATTTGCTGTGCAGTGCCTGTCTATAAGTTTGACCCTTACCTTCCATTTCACTGTATCTGAAGAAGTGTGCCTGCACACGGAAGCACATACCTCGAATAAAACTTTGTTGGTCTTAAAGGTGCCGCCGGACTCTAAATTTGTTTTAGTTGGAAGCAGCGAGGCTTTGTTTTCAACTCTTTGTGCCTAGTGGTGTATGAACTCCTCATACGGGGGGAATTATCTGAACATACAGAAAGCCATTGACATACAAAAAGCCAAACTTGGCTGGTTAGCTGTAAGGACTAGAAAGCTCCTAGTGAAAGACGAATAGATGTAATTTGCTAGAGGACTTAACAGGTTTTACATGCATGCTCTATTTGATATTCATTTTATATATTTCATTTATGCTTGTGGTTGTATGAATTTCGTTTGAGTTAGTTAGTTTGTTGTTTTTTTTTAAATACTTGCCCAAATGGGCAAAGTTTATTATTTTTTAACACAAAACAAAACAACAGAAAGAGCAATACATTTTTAAAATATCTAGACATTGTCTCGCTCGCAACATCTTTAGATACATGGTTCTTTTTTCCTCCTTGTTTAACTTTATATTCCACAACAAATATCAAAATTCTATTCCCAATACATAGTTCATTTTTGTTGTTAGTTTGTTGTATTAGAGTGCTGGCTTTTTGCTGTGAATAAATTTGTCACATTGACAAGATGTCTCTTCAGAGCATTTCCTTTGTTCCGTGCGAGGCATCAAATATACCCAAAGGTTTTGAAGCACCTGCTTTGGCCTGGGACTTGGGTGCTTCCTGGGCCCTGGCAACCCATAATCTTCCTACGTCTTCTGCAGGGATAGATTGGCCATTGGAAAAGTTTCCGGTGGGCCTCTGCCCTGGGGGGCCGCTAACAGCCAGAAGTGACAAGCGACAGTCGCTCCGCCTAGCGTTGCGGGGTCCGCTCAGTCTGGCTTGCCCCCAGGGCCATTTTGACTCCCCAGTCCGTGCCTGGTATAACGTTCAGACATCGTGAAGCAATCAAAGAGGCTACTGTGGAGTCAGTGATCCACAAATTATATTTTAAAAAATAATAAGATAGTGTCCGACTTTTGGGCCAGAGGAAGGATCTAAAATTTGGAGCAGTAGGAGACGCAGCAGCCTCTGGGCTGTCTCCCCCCGGCCCTTTTTCATAATGGTGTGTGTGTGTGTGTGTGTGTGTGTGTGTGTAAAGTGCCGTCAAGTCACAGCTGACTTATGGCAGCCCCGTAGGGTTTTCAAGGCAAGAGAGGAGCAGAGGTGGCCTGCCATTGCCCGCCTCTGCCTAGCGATCCTGGACTTCCAGTGTGGTGTAGTGGTTTGGAGCATAGACTCTACTCCGGGAGACCTGGGTTGGATTCCCCACTCCTCCACATGCAGCTGCTGGTGTGACCTTGGGTCAGTCACAAGTTCTCTCAGAGCTGTTCTCTCAAGAGCAGTTCCTGTCAAGAGCTCTCTCAGCCCCACCTACCGCACAGGGAGGGGAAGTTGCGGGGAGGGGAAGGGAAGGAGATTGTAAGCGGCTCTGAGACTCCGAGTGAAGGGCGGGGTATGAATACAGTCTCCTCTTTTTCCTGGGTGTCTCCCATCCAAGTACTGACCGTGGTCGACCCTGCTTAGCTTCTGAGGTCCAACAAGACGGGGCTAGCCGGGGCCATCCAGGTCAGGGTGAAACCCTGTTTAGTCCACCAAAAACCATTACCAGCAATGTTCCCTCTAAGCTGTGGAGTCTTGTGAGCAAAAAGTCTGCTTTGTGAGTTACTGGCATTAAAGTTATGAGCAGGTGATTTGGTTACTGCATAAATTTGTTTGCTCTGGAGCCATCCGTCCTGAGCTAAGACAAAAATGTGTGAGCCGGAGGCTAAAAAACTGTGAGCTAGCTCACACTAACTCAGCTTAGAGGGAACACTGATTACCAGGTGTCTGTGTTCTTCCACGCGGCGATGCATTGGATTGGGCTGAGCTAAAAACCTAAGGCGTTCCTATATCGCTAGCTGCTTTAGACTGTTCTCTCTCTTTAAAAAAAAATATTTTTGATCATTTTCTCAAGGGAAAAAAGGTTGGGTACTGAAGGGAAAAAGGGGAGGGGGGAAATATAGATTTATTTTTTACATTTATACCCCGCCCACCCTGTAAACAGGCTCTGGGCAGCTTACAGAAGACGGCCAACAGGCCGATACAAATAAAACAATAAAAATATTAAAATCCCTTTAAAACAATATTAACAATGCTTGCTACATCAGAGTAACCTTAAGATGAATGGCTTGTGTCTGCATTCCTTCTGTCTTCGGGTCTTAAAATCAGTCCCACGGTCCAGATGTTCACCAGTGAGGCTCAGAGTGGGCCAGTCCGATATTCCGGACTGATGGTAACTGGTGGCGGCTCCTGTTTTCTATAAGTTTGTTAAATTAATAAAGTGTCAGTTTTACAGAATTTTGGGTTAGATTCTCTCTTTAGGCGATTCTCATGCGAAAGTGTTGCAAGGGTAACAACTGATGAACTTGAAAAACTCAGCAGTGAGAGAGAGAGAAATAATCTGTAAACTCTGCAAAAGTGTTGGGGATGAGATTGGTTGTTCTGCCTAAGAACTGGTTTTTATTTTCCTTTTCAGCGAAGTGTGTCTGAAAACTCGTTGGTGGCAATGGATTTTTCTGGACAAATAGGAAGAGTTATTGAAAACCCAGCAGAAGCACAGTGTGCTGCCTTGGAAGAAGGTTACACTTGGCGGGTAAGGGAACCGTTTTAAAAAAAATGGTTTGGCAGCCAGTACCTCCTAAAACAGTTTATGGATACAGAAGAGAGAGAGAGAGAGAGAGAGAGAGAGAGAGAGAGAGATTGTATTTATACCCCGCCCTTCACTACCCAAAGGAGTCTCAGAGCGTCTTACAAACTCCTTTCCCTTCTCCTCCCCACAACAGACACCCTGTGAGGTAAATGGGGCTGAGAGAGCTCTGACAGAAACTCCTCTTTCTTCAAGGACAGCTCTTATCAGAACTATGGCTTGCCCAAGGTCATCCAGCAGGTGCAAGTGGAGGAGTGGGGAATCAAACCCAGTTCTCCCAGATTAGAGTCCGCGCACTTAACCGCTACACCAGACTGGCTCTCAGTGGTGGTGGGAAGCGCTGACAAGTCACGGCCAACTTATGGTGACCTCGTAGGGTTCTCGAGGCAAGAGAAATTCAGAGGTGGTTTACCATTGCCCGCCTCTGTGCAGCAACCCTGGGCTTCCTTGGCGACCTCCCATCCAAGTACGAATCAGGGCTGACCCTACTTAGCTCCTGAGATTTTACAAGATCGGGCTAGCTGGGGCCCTGCAGGTCAGGGCATGAATATAACAGCCTGATTGATCCCACTGATTGGCAATGTGAGTCGAACGGGTCCCTCCTTCTGTCTTGCAGAAACGCAGCACAAGAATGAACGCCCTGGGTAGCCAAAGTCCTCTTCATCCTTCCACACTGAGCACAGGTAAGGAAAAACGGAAGTGTGATAGAGAACAGGGAAGAGAGAACCTGCAAACGGGGGGAGGAATTAGATTGTCCTGTGAACTTTCCAAGGGAAGGTCGTTCATCCTGTACTTAGCTCTGTTCCGTGGAACTCCATCCAATTCAAGGGCCTGGCTTTTGGATGAACCCTCCTCCGCGGACTGTGTCAAACGGCAGTTGTGGTTTCTGAGTCAGATACAGGAACATTCCTTCCCTGGAGGTTTTTTGAGCCCTGTTTGCTAGAGCCTGGGTCCCTGCAACTGTTGTCAGTCCCACATGCAGTTACTAAAAAAATTAAATCAGGAGCACTTGCAATTTCAAGGCTTTCCTCCTTTATCTTTGTGCTGCAAAGCAAAGGCGCATCGGTGTACCAAGTCACAATTAATGTCATTTTCAGTACTTGAAATGTGACTTCTTTGTACTTGGAAGAACACCCCACATCTTGGGCAGCCCGTTAAAGGTTTTGAACAACTGCCTGTACTGCTCTAGGTGGCAGGATGTCCCCTCTTCTCGCAGCAGCCGCCTGTGCCTGGTTCAGAATATAAATTCAAATGCAGAAACCAGTTTCCACAAGCAGAGTGGGGTTTTTAAACTGGAACCATGTGACCTCAGTTAGGGAAGCGGAGGGGGGTTGCACATGTGCAGCATGGGTATGTGATGGGACTGTTCATATCTCTGGTGTAAATCTGCAAGATTGTCTTATTCCGGAGGGCTTTTTCACACAGGCAATACAGTTGCACTGTAGTAAATGATGCACAAAGTTACTAAGGACCAGGGCTATTTTTGGGCAGGAACACACAGGAACGGAGTTTCGGCTGGCTCCCAAGTTGGCCACGCCCAGCAGGAACTCATTAGCATAATAGGCCACACCCAACAGCAGAAACTCATTAGGATTGGCTACATTAGGGGTGTGTGGCCTAACAAGCAAAGGAGTTCTTGCTACAAAAAAAGCCCTGGGTTTTGAAAACAACATACAAGGTAAACAGAATAAGAAGCAAAAGGTGGGTGTGGCTGGATGACCACACTTCTGGTAACATGGGGGGTGCAGCCTAATGTTCTAATGAGCTGTGCTGTCAGGGGTGTGGCCTAATATGCTAATGAGTTTCTGTTGTTGGGTGTGGCCTATTATGCTAATGAGTTCCTGCTGGGCTTTTTCTACAAAAAGAGCCCTGCTAAGGACTGTGATCTATACCACTGCAGTCAGCTTGCTGAAACTAGGTCCTGTGATGTAATTTTTGCATTATATAATATTTTAATACTGAGGCTTTGCTTCAGTTCTGGTTTGACACAGACATCTGGAACTGCCAGAAAGAACTGGAGCATTGCATAAATATTAACATGACACATTAAGTGGTTCAAAAATGACACAATAGAATCCTACTCACAATAAGCTATACAATGCAGTGTAGACCACAGTCTCTAATAATCTATCCAAGTAAGTTTGCGAACCATTTTGTTGTACAGCTGCAACCCTAATTTTACAGGGCCGGTGAAACGGAGCTGTTCCGCCCGGCTTTCGGGTGAGGCATCAGATGTCCAAATCCGTCTTGGCCTCCCTTACTGGCAGTGCTGATTTTAATCCAGAGAACTCTCCAGTGGCGCCCCTCTGAAATATTGCCACCTGAGCTCTATTATCAAGACAAGCTTGCTCTGGTTGGCAGTATAGTTTTTGTCTTAGCTCAGGAAGGAGGGCTCCGGAGTGAACTGATTTATGCAGGAGCCAAATCGCCCACTCACAACTTTAATGCCAGGAGCTCACGAAGTAGAATCATTACTCACAAGTCTCCACAGCTTAGAGGGAGCATTGGCTGGGGCCACGGAGAGTGTGTGTGATAGCGGATACCTACTTCACTCACTCTTGTGTAATACGCTGTGAGTCCAAGTGAGAAAGGCTGACTGTTGAAAACAAATACATTAATGAAACGAAACCTCACAGGCAGCAGACTTCTCAGACGCTGTAATCTGTATTCTTATTTATTTATTTATTTATTTATTTATTTATTCGCTGTATCCCGCCCATCCTGTATAAGGGCTCAGGGTGGGTTACAACAATTTAATAAATACAATAAAATGTAAAACAAATTAAACAAATTAGCAGGCCCGTAGCCATGATTTTTTTTGTTTGGGGGACATTTAAATTTTTAAGGGGGGCAGTTAAATTACAGTTAATTAAATTAATCTGAATGACTGTCTTCAAAGGGGGAGCCTCCAAGCCTGTTTCTAGCCTTTCCTTTCAAGGGACAGGGCAGCGAGCAGTGTTTCCTCTAAGCTGAGTGAGTGTGAGCTAGCTCACAGTTTTTCAGCCTCCTGCTCACAGATTTTTGTCTTCGCTCAGGAAGGATGACTCCAGGGCCAACTAATTTATGCAGTAGCCAAATCGCTCGCTCACAAATTTCATGCCAGTAGCTCACAGAGTAGAATTTTTGCTCACAAGACTCCACAGCTTAGAGGGAACATTGGCAGCGAGCGTATCCGTTCCTAGGGAAAAAACCCACTCAGGTATTTAATTGCCTTCAAAAGGCATTTAAATGCCTTTTGAGTTCCCTTCCGCAGGGCAAGAAAGCTTCGCAGGACACCTTCAATACATCTCCCAACAACCCTCTTTCTGCTATCCCAGTACCATCTAGGTCATGGTCAAAAATAAGGTTTCTGGCACGGCTATTTATGGGGTGGGGCTTTTAATTAGGGGGGCTGGGTCCCGAAATGCCCCACTGTCGCTAGGGGCCTGATCTGTACTCATACAAAAAAAACGGTGTGCTGGACCAGCAGCATTGTGGTGGTGGTGGGGGGGGGGGATGTTTTGGAAACCTGCGTAGTGCAGCATGCTAGTGCTAACCATTGATTTCTTCTTCAGTTATTCATAGGACACAGCACTGGTTTCATGGCAGGATCTCCAGGGAAGAATCACACCGGATTATTAAACAGCAGGGGCTTGTGGACGGGTAGGCGCTTTCACACTGGAGCCTGTTTTATTAATGTACCTGGTTTGGATGTTTCAACACATTTATTCGTTCGTTCCTTCGCTTATTTGTTTGTGTGCTGCCTTTCCATCCAAATAGGGTCCCCAAGCTGATGAACTTCAGGGCATTAGTACCTTTAAAACAGGGTCCCCGTGGGCACCACAGCACCTGCGGATACCTTTGCTGGTGCTCATCAAGTGTTTTCAGAAAGTGGGCGTGGACCAGGCGAGGCTTTTGCCTAGCCGGTCCACTGGAGATACGAATGGCTGTGCAGAGTCGTTAAAAGCTGTTTCAGTAACAGCTGCCACAACCACACAGGGATCTTCACCGTGTTACTGTGTGTATTTGAGGAAATACGTTCATTTTAAGAGCCATCCTGTCAAACAGAGCATCTGCCTGCAATACTGAAGAGTTACTACAAGCATTATGCACGACAGAGGTCATTTCGGGGGGGGGGGGCGCGGGGGAGCGCAGTTCCCCCAGGTTTCCTCCCTGCCTCTCTCCACCCCTGCTTGCCTGGGGCCAGGGAGGGCCTTCGCGGGGCTTCCTTGCACTCCCGCTGGCCTTGCAGGTCCACCGCCGGGCTCGGCAGTGGAGCTGCAAGGCTGCCGGCGGCAGCCGGGACCGTTGGGGGCGGGGTGTGTGGCCTTATGACACACTTCCGGTGATGTCAGGGGGTGTGGCATATGCTAATGAGTTATGCTAATGAGTTCCCCTAGCTCTTTTTCTACGAAACGACCCCTGATGCACGACCTCACTCCCTGACATTATGTACCCGGTTCCGACTCCTGCAGCGGCCATTTTGTAGATGCACTGTGACCACTCAGTGAAAAGATTCCAAAGGTGCCCACCGGCTTGAGAGGGCTGGGGATCCCTGCTTGAAAACACTGGAACAGCGTTTAAAATGTGCGTGTGGAAAATATTTAACAATACAGCACGATACAGACGTTATCGACATACATACGCAACCAGGGAGGGGCCCCAATAAGAGCTGACTGGGGATATGCTAAACAAAACGCAGAAGTCTCCCCCCGCTGGCAGAAGACAAGGACAGAGGGAGGCCGATGAACCTCCGCGGGGTGATCCGTTACAAACCAGAAAGTTTCCGTGCAGTGAATGAGGGAGGGGAGTGAGAGCGTACATCTGTGGCCTTTCCGGCTCTTTCTTCTCCCCGGTTCACCCTGGCGTGGTGTGTGTGAGGTCACTGGGTGCAGGCCTACATTTGGCTCTTGCATAATGTTTCTTCGTATCTGTGTATAGGGGGTGCGTCTCTGGCAACCATCAAAGGGCTTTTCTGCAATCTCAGTTTCCTTGCTTCTGCGTTCCTGTCGCTTCGGGGTGGTTTTCTGCTCTGCGTGTGTTTTACTCCCTCTAGTGGTTGATTTGACATTACGTTGCTTTTATGTCCGGCATAAAAAACTTGCAGTTCAAATCTGTAGGAAGGCACGCTGGACATAAAGGAATGTCATATAGAATCGACCACTAGACATAATTATTTCGGACAAAATAGCGATGCATTTGATTGCGTTAGATAATCCAAATGGTCAGAACAACTTTATGGGAAAATGGTTTTGTTTCTTTCAATATATCACCGAAACTAATCCACAAACCTTTAGATTGCCATACAAATATAAGGATTTTGCATTTTATTGAAAATTACTGTTATAAGTAAGTTGATTGTATATTAGTACTATTGTTAGTTGTTTTGTTTATGTTAATATTGAAAAGTTTAATAAAAAATTATTTGCAAAATAAAAGAATCGACCACTAGAGGGAGCAAAAACATTCAGAACGTGGGGGGGGGGGATGCACCAGGGACCAGGGGGATGCACCAGGGAAATGGGAATGCAGAAAAGCCCAACCCGAGTTCTTGCCAGTGAGAATTCATTGCACACTGTATGGGTTAACCTTTCACAGGGATTATTTCTGTCTCCGTGAAAGTATTGTCCCATCCTGTCCTTTGGGCTGATACCGAGGCTTGCGTTCCTACTGTGCTACTTGGTGCACTTTCCGTTCTTATAACAACAATTTTAGAAATTCTCCTTTCGAAAAGGGACAACATTCCACTCGCCTCACCTCCTTAAGATGGGCAGAACCCGTCGTTCCAGTTTGTGCTTATACGCTTAACATTCTGCATGTCTGCAAGACACTGGGGGAAAAAGATCAACGACTTGGTTTGTGATGTGTGACATCATGGAGCATAGGCTTGCCAAGTCCCCCCGGGGGGTGGGGAAAACCCCGCCCCAGAGGCCCGTTCCCCGCCGGCGGCGGATGGGGCCCCGGGGGGAACCCCACCCCGACGTGCACGTCACCCGGAATCTGGGGGCGGGGCCACGGTCATCCGAGGGGAAAGTCTATGGTTTTCCCTCGGATGGTCGTGGCCCTGCCCCCAGCGTGCCCGGCGGCGTCACGTCACTTCCGGGTGACGTGCGTGCGGTGACGCGCGCACTCCAGCCGCCAGCCGGGAGTCCCCCGCTGCGGCTAAAAAAGCACTTGGCAACCCTAATGGAGCACCACTGCACAGGTTTTTGGACCGATTTTGATGGCACAATTTAATGTGTTGCAGGCTATTTCTTCTCCGGGACAGCCAGAGCAATCCAAAGACTTATGTGCTTACACTGTGCCACCATCAAAAGATCAAGCATTTCCAGATTCTGCCGGTAAGTGGTGCATCCTTATGATATGGAATGGATTTTGTCACAGGCTTTCCCCACAGATTAAAGGTCTCTCTCTCTCTCTCTCTCTCTCTGTCTCTCTCTCTCTCTCTCACTCTCTCTCTGTTGTAGTCAATGCTCCCTCTAAGCTGTAGAGTCTTGTGAGCAAAAATTCAACTTTGTACGCCACTATGTGAGCGTGCGATTTGGCAGCTGCATAAATTAGCCTGCTCTGGAGCCATCCCTTCCTGAGTCAAGACAACGATGTGTGAGCTGGAGGCTAAAAAAACGGTGAGCTGGCTCACACTGACTCAGCTTAGAGGGATCACTGGTTGTAGTTTAATTTTTCATGATACGTTGCTTGTACTCTTTGTACACATCTGTGAACAAAGCTGTAATTGTAGTACTTGTTTTGGGAGATGAGCTAAAAATTAAAAAAAATCCTTGTTTCACAATATCAAAATTGGCCCCACACCCCAGTGGCGTAATTGACAGAGAAATTACTCTATGCACCTAAAATTGTCTGTTTTGCTGCTGTCTAAAGCAGGGCCCCCCAGTGTGCCAACACCATTCCTGGTCAGTGTTCCCTCTAAGCTGAGTTAGTGTGAGCTAGCTCACCGTTTCTTAGCCTTCTGCTCACACATTTCTGTCTTTGCGCAGGAAGGATGGCTCCAGAGCCAACTGATTTATGCAGTAGCCAAATCGCTTGCTCTACAACTTTAATGACAGTAGCTCACAAAGTAGAATTTTTGCTCACAAGACTCCACAGCTTAGAGGGAACATTGTTCCTGGTGCCCTGCCACGTGTTTTTAGAAGGGGGGGGAGGGCTTGTGCCCAATCGTGTTTCTGTTTGGTCATTGGGGATCAGATTGCCTGAGGATGTTTTTTTTTTAAAGTCACTTCGGCAGTTGCTGCCACCACGGCAGAAGAATCTTCACTGTACGATGAAAAGGAAGCTGTGCATATACAAGAAAAATACTTTTAAGCACTCTTTTCATTTTAAAACTAAGCAGAGTTTCTGCCTGAAATGCTGAAGAGTGACCTTACTCCTGGACGTTGTATGAGTGGCTCCCCCTCCCGTGGCAGCCCATTTGTTGTTGTGCCCATCGCCCTGCCTCAGAATTCTCATGGTACCCATAGACTCAAAAAGGCTGGGCAGTCCTGGTCTCTGGAGATCTACAGAGCTATATAAATACACAAAAAGCACGTCCCTGTATGGGAACAAATATCTAGTAGTAGTAGTAGTAAGTAAGTTTATTGTATCTGGCCATTACAATATAAAATATTTATTTATTTATTTTTCATATTTATATCCCGCCCTCCCCAGTGGGCTCAGGGCGGCTAACGAGGGCAGGCCATTAGCCATGCCATATATAAGACATATAAAAACATAATAAAACATCCAACATTAAAACCACAGTACTCAATCCATTACTAATGTCCTAAGTCCAAGATGGTAACTCCACAGTTCCAGATGGTACTCCCCTGATGTACATGTCCAATGACGACAGCATCAGATCTTCTACCATTTCCCGGTTCTTCCTCGGGCCTCGTCGCTGCATCCTTTAAGATACATTGACGGTGGTGGTATAATGGGGTGGCGGCTACTACTCAAAGGCCTGGCGGAAGAGCTCCGTCTTGCAGGCCCTGCGGACCTGCCTAAGGTCCTGCCGGGCCCGGATCTCCCCCGGGAGCTCGTTCCACCAGGTAGGAGCCGCCGCCGAGAAAGCCCTGGCCCTGGTCGCAGCTAGTTTAACGTCCTTGGGACCCGGGATGACCAACACATTTTGGGGCCCCGACCGTAGTGCTCTTGGGGGAACATGTGGGGCAAGGCGGTCCCTCAGGTCAGCTGTATATATATAAATACGGGAACAAATATGAAAACTGCAGGTCCTTATACCAAAAAAATTCATTGTAGCTGAAGTCAAGGACTAAGGAGTTAAGCCCCACTGGTCTTTTCTTTACAACTTAATTTCCAGTTCTGATTGGGACCCTGGGGGAGGAGAGGTGTCTGGGCCCCCATGGCCCAAAATTTTAAATTTCAATCAAGGACCCTTGGTATGCATCTGGCTTGACTATTTTATGTCAGAGCTGAAGACATTTCAAACGTTGCGTTTCCCTAGTGCGGTGGTCGGCAAACTGCGTCTCGCGAGCCACTTGTGGCTCTTTGGCCCCTTGTGTGTGGCTCTTCTGCCATAGGTGGGTCGCGGGATACAAAGCACGGGGGGGGGGAGTTAGCCAATCCCAGAGTCAGCAGAGGCGGGCCCTACCTGCTGCAGCGACCCAGACTCCAACCCGGATGCGCCGGCGTGGTGCCGCCTCTCTACCTTCTTGCCCTCCCCCCCCGCGCGCACACGCACCCTCTCCCTCCCCCCCCTCTCATGCTCGCCCGGCCAAAGCGGATCAGAGCTTCTCGGCAAACAAGCCTCCTCCTCCCCTTGCCGCCTCCTGCGGCGGCAACAGCAGCAGCGATGGGGAAACGTGGCAGTGGCTGATCAAGCAAATTGACAGCAGCATCTTCCACATCCTTTGGAAGCACGCTTGCAAACAGGACTACAACTGCTCTCTTCAAGGTACAGGCTTGTGGTGGGGAATGTGCCTGGGAGATATCACAGCCGGAGCATCGATTCTTGCTTCCAAAGATTTAGTGTGGATGGATGCCCCTTTAAAACAACCCACCCATATTTACTTGGAGGTGTCCTGTGCGACTCTGCAAGACTACTTGCCCATTGTGGTGTTTCAGTGCTCCCTCCAAGCTGTAGAGCCCTGTGAGCAAAGA